GATAACAGCGTATGAGTGGGATATAATCATTAACGTAGATTTTTGCCCACTCTACTGCGATGTACTTAGTCCCAACTATTATATTCCTTATTTTAGGCGAGGTTGAGATGACATTATGGCGGCAGTTCTCCTTAGTATTGTTTCTAAAGAGAACTGTGCTAATTCTTGTAGAGTCCGTGAATTCCTCTACTGGTATTGCATGCAGGGCCTCATTTTGGTTGTAGATAATGGTAATAAGATCTTCTTCCTGTACTGAGATTGGGACATTAGTAAGAATGATGCGGGGCCTCCTTCCTTCAGAAATTTTGCATTGAACTTTTTCTGCTATGTCCCGGTGCCCTTTTATAGCCTTAGAAAGTGTTTCCGCTTCTAAATGGGTATCCGTCCTAAAGCAGATACCGTCTCCCTTCACCTGCCTAACAGACTTTACCTTTATTTTTAGATTCTGGGGCTTAATTCTTTTCTTAATTCCGTTTTCAATTTTCTTCATGTTGTTAGCTGGGTCAGCATCATCCTCCTTAGGGTAAAGTAGTAGAGCAAAACTTCCACCGGTTCCCTCTATGTTCACTTTATTTTTTAATGATTTGTTAATGGCCTGTGTAGTTAGGCTCGTCTTAGCATTGATTTTGGTGACTTCTGCATATGAAGCAGCTTGAGTGGGTGCAGGAGCAGTAGTAATGACCTGATGCGGGGAATAATTAGATCTGACCTCTTTTAAGATGCCATGGAACTGTCCAAGGCATGAGAAGAGACGGGTAACCCGGTCTCTAACTTCTTTTCTTTCTTCGGTCCTTATGTTATTACTGTACTTCTCAGGGAGAAGGTCTAGTATCTTCAATAGATGGAGTCTCGCCTCATTGAGGATAGTATCCTCAAGGGAAGTGACTTTAACACTGCAGTCCAGACTAGGGTCTGGGGGCAGCGGCAGTTGGCTACTTGAAGACATGACTATTGTGAAGTGTGTACAACCAACGAAGAGGGTGTAGAGTAATTGTAGTATAACTTGTGCAGAAAAGAGCCCAAACGGGGATAAACTCTGTCCCAGAAGACAGTATCTTACTTGGACAGAGAGGAAAAGTGATACAAAATGATGAAATAATAAAAATATATAGGAATATTACGGACTAAATAATACTAGAATATACAAAATAAACCGTTATAAGTAGCAACACGACGAAATTAGTAACGAAAAATGGCAAAACAAACCGAAAATTTATAAGTAAAAATAAACAATTNTGTATGGCCCTTGTGCCAATAAACTCTAACGAACTAACTAACTAACAAATGCCAGAAGAATAAGAAGGCAAAGCCAAAGGGATTCTAAGAGGAAGTATGTATATAGCATAACATCTTCCACTAGCTCAAAAGCAGTCTGGGATAAAATCCACAAAATTAATGGGAAATATGCTTCTCACTCTGTCCATGCTGGAAAATAATGGCACAATAATCAGCGATATACAGGGTATTGCTGATTCATTAGGTGAAACATTTTCTGCTTCATCCAGCAATATTATGCATTCAAGGAATTTTCAGGTTTATAAAGCCCAAAGAGAAAAACAGTGTTTAAACTTACATACCTCATCTAATGAGGAATATAATGTGTCATTCACCAGCATAGAACTACGTACAGCGATCTCTCGCTTGGGGAATACTGCTGTAGGTTCGGATAAAATTCACTACAGCATGATTAAAAATCTTTCGAACAATTCCCTTTTTAATTTCCTGCATCTGTTTAACAGAATATGGACAGAACATACTTTTCCTGACTCATGGAGGTTATCTATCATTATTCCCATTCCCAAGCCAGGTAAAGATCACAAGAATCCCTCTAATTACAGACCTATTTCTCTGACAAGTTGCCTGTGTAAACTCTTAGAGAGAATGGTAAACAGATGCCTGATGTTCCTCCTAGAGGAAAAGAATTATTTTTCACCACATCAGAGTGGATTTCGTAGGAACAGAAGTACCACGGATAATTTAGTAAATCTTGAAACATCTATACGCGAAGTGTTTGTTCGACGGCAGCATTTAGTGTCTGTATTCTTTGATATAGAGAAGGCCTATGATCGCTGCTGGTGTTACAGAATACTTTGTGATTTGCATGAATTAGGATTGCAGGGTAATTTGCCAGTTTTTATAAAAAACTTTTTGCAGAATCGAAGATTCCAAGTTAGGATGGGCAACACACTATCTAGGTTTTTTGTTCAAGAAGAAGGTGTTCCTTAAGGATGTATTTTGAGTGTGACTCTGTTCCTAATTAAAATTAATAGCATAGTTAACTGTTTTTTCCCTACTGTGAAACACTCTTTGTATGTAGATGACTTTCAGATCTCCTGTCAGTCTAGTAATATGAGTTTCATTGAGAGACAACTGCAAACGTCTTTAAATCGCATAGACCATTGGTCCATGACCAATGGTTTTAGTTTTAACACGGAGAAGACCTCGTGTATCCACTTATGTTGAAGGCGGGGTTTCACCTGGATTCTGAAATTCATTTAAATAGGGTTAAAATCCCAATGGTCAATGAGACAAAGTTTTTGGGAGTTTTATTTTATTCTAAACTAACATTTATGCTACACTTGCGCAACCTGAAGAGTAGATGTTTAAAATCTTTGAATTTTTTAAAGGTACCAGGCTGCTCATCCTGGGGAGCAGACAAAGTTTTTATGCTCAGGATTTATAGGGCCCTTGTTCGCTCTAAGCTGGATCACAGTTGCATTGGTTATGGCTTTGCGCGAGAATCTACATATCAGATGCTGGGTTCAATTTACCACCAAGCACTGCGTTTGTGCACTGGTGCTTTTCGAACTTCTTTTGTACAAAGTCTGTATGTGGATGCTTATGAGCCTTTACTATTTGTTAGGAGAGAACAGTTGTCTCTGTTTTATTATATAAAACAAAAATCTCTTACTAAACTTTCAGTTGATTGTACAGTATTAGATACTCAGCTGAAAAGGTTATTTGAAACTCGCTTTAGTAGTGGTCCTACATTTCCCGTAAGAATGGAGAATGTGATCAGCATGATTGATGTGACCACATGCAACATTTTACAGCTAGAAGTCTGTAGTATAACACCTTGGTCAACTCCTGTGATAAATGTTGACCTTAGCTTAAAGCAATTTTTTGAGGAATTTACTCCAGACTACATCTACAGGCAGCACTTTGCAGAAACTCAACATTGTGACAGGAATTTAATCCATATATACATTGATGGATCTAAATCTGATGATTATTATGGCTCAGCCTTCGTCTGCCAGGATGAAATTGTGGCAGAACAAATATCACCATATTCTTTTATCTTCTCTGCAGAGTTGCATGCTATTTATCTAGCTTTAAAGTATATAAATAGGAAAGGTTATTGTTGCTGTGTGATTTATACTGACTCAGTTAGGCACTTTAGGCTTTGATCTTGAGCAAACCTAGTTTTCACTCTATAGTGATTAAAACTAAAAAACTGTTTTGCCATCTAATTGCGAGTAATTTCTTTGTAAAATTTTGTTGGGTCCCAGGCTATGTAGGTGTAAAAGGAAATGAAGAAGCTGACGCAGCTGCAAAGTCAGCTTGTCATTCACAGCATACAATGCGTATTGAAGGAGGTGATTTAAAGCTAGTTGTTAAAAAACGACTAGTAGAGAGATGGCAAAATGTGCACAAATCCACAATAAACTACACGAGATGAAACCTTTGGTTGAAAATTGGACACGTAACAAACAGTATGACAGGAGATCTGAAGTTATTCTTAGTCGTTTGAGAATTGGGCATAGTCGGTTGACTCATCAATATTTTTTGAAGGGTGAAGACCAGCCAGTATATGAGTATTGCAACTGCTCTCTAAGTGTAAAACACATACTTTGCAATTGCATTGCTTTTGATTAAAATCGTAAACAGCATTTTGGAAATGCAAGCTTGACAGAGATTTTGGGCCAGAGGCCAAATCTTGATAAAATTACTTTTTGAAAGTTATAAATATATTCAAAGAGATATAATTATTTATTTATTATTTATTTATACATATTTTGTTATTTCAATTGCAGTTATTTATGTTCTATTAATATTCTATGGTATTTATTTATTATATACTTATAGTTTTGTTGTTGTTTTGTTTATGTATGTTTCTGTGTTTCATTAGTTACTGATGAGATATATATTTAGTTTTGTGTAATGTTACCTTTTGTTATGGCGCAGCATAGTTTTCATGGCTCTTGTGCCAAAAAACTTAAACTAACTAACTAACTAACTGCTTTAAATGTCAGCGGTTTAGACACTCCCAAATATGCAGAGGAAAAAAAAGCATGCGCACAGTGTGGAAATGAAGATCACGAGAGTACTGAATGTAAAAGTACTCCATGCTGTGTGAACTGCAAAGATGCCCATCCTGCCTACTCTCAGAAATGCCCTGCATGGCAGAGAGAGAAAGAAATTCAGCAATTGGAGACTGTTAATAATATATTTTATATGGAGGCATGTCGCATGGTCACTTTAAGTGCACCAGTGAAAGAAAAGACATTTGCAGCTGTTCTGAAATCCACAAAGACATGTGGAGTTCAGACAGACATTTCTGTTTCACCAAATGAATCTCTGACTTGCCATGAAAAACGTCTGCTGATACCATCTATTAAAGCAATAGAAGAAGAAAATAACAAAGCAAAACTACTTATATTTAAAACAGGGGTAACAACTAGGAATGTGGGTATCAAAAAAGCCAGTAAGAACCCTCTTAATAAACAAAGGATAAAAGCAGCCCTATCTAAATCAAAAAAATCGGAGACTCAGTCTATGAGCGAGTTTCTCGAATTCTCTGATGAAGAGAATAATAAGGGGATGACATCACCAACATCACCTCCAAAAGAAAAACCCCCTGTAAAATTAAAGAGGGATAAACTTGCTAAAAATGCTGCCTCAAACACCTAATGGATTATAAAATAATCCAATGAAACTGTCGTGGTTTCCGCAAGAATTTCTCTGACATTAAACACTTGACATCCTCTACTTCATCTCTCTGTGTGGCACTCCAGGAAACCCTTCTGAAACTTGTAGAAAAAAATCTCTAAAAAATTTCAATCTCTACCGCAAGGATGATGATAGCCACAATTCTGTTAGTGGAGGTGTGGCTATTTTGGTTTCAAATCACATTACATCTTTACCGGTACAAATAACAACAGAGCTGCAAGCTGTGGCAGTCAGAATTTCTATTGAAGTAACTGTCACAGTTTGTTCTATATACTTGCCACCAGATGTCACAGTCAATGAGGATGAATTGGATACACTAGTTGAACAGCTGCCAACTTTATTCCTTTTACTCGGTGATTTTAATGGTCACAATTTTATGTGGGGCAGTCCCGACATTAACCGTCGTGGCAGGGCCATTGAAAGATTCATTGGCAATCAGCAACTGTATTTACTTAATACAGGAGAAGTGACATACTTTCATGCTTCAACGAGAACATTTACAGCCATTGATTTAACCTTAGCAAGTCCAAATTTGTTTTCAGCATTTACATGGGAGGTAGGATCTAATCCACTCTTTAGTGACCACTTCCCAATATTTCTAAAATATCAAGGCAGAGAAAACCGTGAAACAGCCCGTCCACCACACTGGAAACTTGAACCGGCAGATTGGACTGCATTCTCCTCTATGGCTGACATCTCTGAGGAAATGGTCAATGCTGCTGATATCAATGATGCAGTGGAAGTAGTCACTTCCAGTATTATTCAGGCAGCTGATAAAACAATGGGAAAAACATCAACTAGATACCCAAAGCATCCAAAACCATGGTGGGACCAGAATTGCGAGGCAGTATTTGAAGCACAAAAGAAAGCATGGGGAATTTTAAGAAGATAACCCACTATTAACAATTTCATAGCTTTTCAAAAAGCAAAGGCAAATGCCAGAAGAATAAGGAAACAAAGCCAAAGGGATGCTTGGAGGAAGTATGTTTCTAGCATAACATCTACCAGCTCAACAGCAGTCTGGGATAAAATCCATAAAATTAATGGGAAATATGCTTCCCACTCTCTGTCCATGCTGGAAAATAATGGCACAATAATCAGCGACATAAAGGGTATAGCTGATTTATTGGGTGAAACATTTTCTGCTTCACCCAGCAATATTATGTATTCTAGGAATTTTCAGGTTTATAAAGCCCAAAGAGAAAAACAATATTTAAACTTACACACCCCATCTAATGAGGAATATAATGTGCCTTTCACTAAAATTGAATTACACACAGCGATGTTTTGCTCTGGGAATAGTGCTGTAGGCCCAGATGAAATCCACTAAAGCATGATGTAAAATCTGTCAAACAATTCCTTTTCTAATTTCCTGCATCTGTTTGACAGAATATGGGCAGAACATATTTTCTTGACTCTTGGAGGCTATCTATTATTATTCCCATTCCCAAGCCTGGTAAAGACCACAAGAATCCCTCTAACTACAGACCAATCTTTCTGACAAGTTGTCTGTGTAAACTCTTCAAGAGAATGGTAAACAGACGCCTGATGTTTTCCTAGAGGAAAAGGACTATTTTTCACCACATCAGCGTGGATTTCGTAGGAACAGAAGTATCACTGATAACTTAGTAAACTTTGAAACATCTATACGCAAAGCGTTTGTTAGACGACAGCAGTTAGTGTTTGTATTTTTCGACATAGAGAAGGCCTATGATTGCTGTTGGCGATACGGGATACACCGTGATTGTACGAATTCGGGTTGCGGGGTAATTTGCCAATTTTTATAAAAAACTTTTTACAGAATTGAAAATTCTATGTGAGGATGGGCAACACCTTATTTTAGGCTTTTCACCCAAGAAAAAGGTGTTCCTCAAGGCTCTATATTGACTGTGACTCTGTTTTTAATTAAAATTAATAGCATAGTCAACTGTCTTCCTTTTAGTGTTGTAAGGAACCAAGTCTGAGCTTTATTTTTATTTTACTTTTATTTTGCTTTCATTATATTTTGTTTGGGGCTTATGTTTAGTTAAGACGGCGGTTTCCTCATTATTCACCTTAGTAACTTAAAAATAGAAGAAAAACCAACTCACTGACGAAAGAAAAGCGCCGTAGAAAAACTCGAGCACACTTGCGCTTCCCAAGCGGAAAAGTAAGTTCGCACCGAGAAAAAGGGGGGGAGACCCCACAACCCAGTTAGGAATTGCTAAATTTTAAAAGAATAAAGCATCCCGATAATTGTTAAAAAGAATAATGTAAAAGGTTAGCGAAGTATTGTCGGAAAATAATCTGCCAGATAAACAAGAAAAATTTAATGTTACAGATAAGTATGTAAATGAGGAGAGTGAGCTCATTCAGAATTGTGACGTCACCTCACACTATAAAGCCTCTAACTCAAGTGAAAACGAACGAGGTGAATTCCTGATAGCAACGAGCTTTGGTGAGCTTCGTAGCAGTGAACGAGAGAGGTGTCCGATAGGATTTTGAAGTTATTCGATTTGTGGATCGACGATTATAGAAAGTCTTGAGAGTTTGAGGAAATAGGTTCCTAGTATATTGAGGTGACGATTAGGATCTTTAATTTATAAGAATTATTGTTTATAAGTTAATTCTTTGATTTTGTCGAATTCCAAAGGGGAATAGAATTAAGTTAGAAATAGATTGATTTGAGTTTGTCGGATTGATTCTTGTTGAGTTTCATTGAATAAATTATTGTTTGATTTTTACTAAATACTGTATAGAGTTTATTAATAGAAGTTTAATTAAATATTTGATTTTTGTTATTGACAAACTTTGTCATTATTTAATTCGGTGCACGCTTAAAGTCCAGGCCTGGCACACTAACGCGAATCCGCGTAAAGTACCCGTTAGGGAACGGCTATTTCCGGCACACAGTAGTGTCGATAATCGTTGGAAAGTCGGAAAAATAATATAGTACTTTACAGTGTGAAACACTCTTTGTATGTGGATGACTTTCAGATTTCCTGCCAGTCCAGCAACATGAGCTTTATCGAGAGACAACTGCAAACCTCCCTAAATCACATAGACCATTGGTCAAAGATTAATGGTTTTAGTTTCAACATAGAGAAATTTTCGTGCGTCCACTTTTGCCAAAGGCATGGTTTGCACTTGGATTCTGAAATTCACCTAAATCAGGTTAAAATTACAATGGTCAATGAGATGAAGTTCTTTGGAGTTATATTTGATTCCAAACTGAGATTTTTACTGCACTTGCGCGACCTGAAGAGTAGATGTCTAAAATTTTAGAACATTTGTCTGCTCCCCAGGATTAGCAGCACAGTTCCTGTAGAAGGTTCAAAGCTCAGGATCTATAGGGCCCTTGTCCACTTAAAGCTTGTTCTTGTTCTACAGTTAAGAAGTCTCCTAAACTCTTCTTTCATATTCTTACTGGACTTTGCCCAGTAAGAATATGAAAGAAGAGTTTAGGAGAGTTGATGATTAGGAGGAAGAAGAAATAAAGATAGATAGGACAGTGTGTAATAAGAGATAGCCCAGAGCCTATACATGGGAACCCATGAGCGTTGTTTCGCATTTATTAAAATCAGCAAACAATTAGATTTGAACGTATGTACACCTTCGACCATAATTCTTGTCTAACAGTCGATCGATCGCGCATGGGCGGAAGCAGATCACTTGATAAGCCAGGACGTCCTACCTGTTATCAAAGGCGTTTAGAGTGGACTGGTCCGATTTGCGCCGTAATAGGGGCGAGGAAATCGAGCCAAAGGGACTTCTGTGTGCAGTCAGGCGTGATACGGGTTGACATTACTAGTCGCTCATCACTGCTTGCTTAGCGTTCGCCGTTTTTATTTTAAAATCGTAAAATCGCGGCCCTGATTATCAGAAATTATGATTCTATCTGTTATTTTGATACTTTTCTTTCTTTATAATGTTTTATTTACTTTATTTTCCTGTAATTAGAGACGATACAGCTTTAAAATAAACAGATCAGCTTTCTCTTGCCAATAGATTATCTCAACTTTCACCGATTGGCGTCGGTTAATTTGTAATCGGATAGGAATTGTCCAGTGTTAAGTGTTTATTGCTTTTGTGGTAATACGAGTAGAGCGGGAGCGTCCCTTAATGAACTGCCAAGTGGTTTATTACCATTTAAACAACTTCTCCCCACTTGTTATTCTTAGTAACTAGACACGTCTGTCAAGGTCGGTTAAAGTTTATTACTTTCACAACAGGGTGTCAAGTGAGCCGCCACCCACACCCACCATTAACGACAACAACGCGCGAAGTATCACGTTACTCTGTAAACGAAAACTCCCTTCCTTGTTGGAGGCGGGTCACATGTCAAGGTTACCGTTTAATGTCATTGAACAAAATGTTGTCCTTGATATTTAAGAATCAGTTTTGTCAGAACTGTTTATTTTTAATACATTTTTTATAATTTATTGCTGCTTCAGTTATAAAATTTTTTTTATTGTGTTCTAAATCGATTTTTTTTAAAATTATACTCGTATAAAGTTTATGAATTAATATTGCAATGAACAATTCGTTGTTCAAACAAATATTTATTCATTATACAGAGTTCAAGTTTGCAAAAAATGTTTTCATATCTCTTCGTCGTCATTATATATATATTAATAAAATATATTGACATTTTACAAACAGATCTTATTGTATTCATTTTATTACTTTGTATTTAATTCCACATTATATTCGAATCGACATTTTATATTTTGTAAGTATTCACGTATCACATTACATGTCATTCGTTTAATTCTGTACTACTTACGTTATAACGATTTATATAGCTTTTAATTTTTTTTACATGCTTTCATTTACGTTTTAAATATCATGTGATCTAATCTACGAACGGCAGCTTTCCACGCATCACATAGAATTTCTACGGGAAAGCCTTCATTGCAGACGTGAAGTTGCATCTAAATTTGTTTATCCGGGAAAGATGCCATTTGGGAAATATACACACTTTCTTAAATTGCTAATAAAAATTTTTAAATAATCAAAAGCTATACATTTTTCAGCATGCGATTTCGAAAGAAGCTTTCTAACGAAGGGGTTAAAGTACAGATACAGATATTTTTATTAATCAGGTACTAGCAGGTACATGCCCGGCACCGTGAAAACATAACCGGGTGAAGCGCGATACATACAGAGTGTGTACAAGTTAAAGTAGTTTTGTGTACTAATGTACACTTACAGTAAATTATAAGGTTTTACAGATGTACAATTAAAAATAATTATAGCGGGAATACAAAATAGACATTATACAGTAGAAATTAACATGTTATAGTACATTTTACAGGGATACAGATATTTAATATAATATACAGGAATACAGGTAATTATTGCGTTGAACAAGATTACAAGAGAACATATAAGATTTAATTACTAGAGTAAATATTAAATTCTAAGTTAAGCTACATTAATAATATAACAATTAATTGGGATACTTAAATGTAAGCCTAGAACTAGGATGCAGAAATATTAAAACATATCAAAACATTAACAATTACATAGGCACGGTGGTACATTTAAAATATTTATCGATAAGTGCGTTGAAAGCCTCATAGGTGTCCTTGTGTTCGAAGATCTCGTGGCAGTTACCAGGGCAGGTCTTTCCATGGGCCTCCAGGATGATTTTAAGGTGTAACCTCTCCAGCTCTAAGGCTGGGCAGTCAAAGAGATAGTGTGAAGAGCTGTCAACCTCACCACATAAGGAACAGTTAAGGTTGGGGGTGTTGCGGAACCTTGCCAGATAGGAATGAAATTTTTCGTGGTTGGCTCATGCGTTGGTTTGGCGAGTACCACTTACTGTTGATGAAATTACTTATTGCTGGAATAAGTCTATAGGTAATCGGGTGCCTCATCTCATCCCAATCCTGTTGCCAAGAGGTGAGG